CTTCTAAACGGTCAATATGATAATAGAAGGCACGATGCATGACTAATACTAACATTTAGACTGCAAGGGCATATTAGATACTACAGCCGAGCAAGATGACAGCCTGCAGCTACCCAAGACTCTCACTGGGTAGAATAAGAAATAAGTCGGGTTGAATGCATATATTTGGGGGAAGAAGGGATAAAGCCAGCCCATTTGTACAAGGACTAGACGAATACCGATGACGCTGCCAAATAGCCCGTGATCGCATGAAAAAAGCACTATAAAACCCATCCACAAAGGACAAGAAAAACTACAAAATGACCATTGATCACGCAAGCAGCCGACAAAACAGCAATAAATTCTACTCTTCTCCCCAAAAGCAAGTGTACAACCAGGCCTTCTGTCTTCTACTTCTATATGAACAGAATTCGAAGGCCATAGCAAGTAGCACGTGGCTGTCGTCAGAGTACTCAGGCCGCCCAGAAAAACTTGTAAAATCAATTGAGTAAAGGCAATTAATATTAAGGAGTGATCCCGCATTTGCCCTGACGATTTCAAAGATATATAAAAGCTAATTATTAAATTTCGTCTAGAAGGGATTTTTAAAAGGTCTCTATTATTTTGTTTTAATTGGTTATGATTGTGGGGAGGAATTCAAGTTGAATAGGAGACTAATTGGCGCTGTTTCGTCATGTCTTCAAGAGATTCGACGATTGATCCATCGAGTTTGGAACATCTTTGCGTTGCTCAAGGTCCTCTTGATGATTCCGCGGCTCAGTCAGATTGGGCCTCAAAGAAGCTTGTCTGGGTCCCTCAGGAGTCCGTTGGATTTGTTGCGGCTTCCATTGTTTCTGAAGATAAGGATGACTGCGTTGTCCAGCTGCAAGAATCTGGCAAAAAAATTGCCGTACCTAGGGACAGTATCCAAAAGATGAATCCTCCAAAGTTTGAAAAGGTTGAGGACATGGCTAATTTGACTTATCTTAATGAAGCCTCGGTTTTGTATAATCTCAAGTCGCGATATTACTCTGGACTTATTTATGTAAGCAAAGTTATACGCCACAGGTTTTGTTAGACCTATTCTGGCTTATTCTGCGTCGTTGTGAACCCTTACAAACGCCTCCCTATTTATCGCGAGGAAATTGTAGAATGGTACAAGGGCAAGAAACGTCATGAAAGACCACCACATATTTTTGCCATTGCTGATACTGCGTACCGTAACATGCTTCAGGATCGTGAAGATCAGTCTATTCTTTGCACGTAAGATGGAAATTCACCTTATATTCATCTAGCGGTGAGTCGGGAGCTGGAAAAACGGAAAACACCAAAAAAGTTATTCAGTACCTGGCATCTGTGGCAACGTCAACAAAGAATCAAAAGACTACTCCTAGTAATGTGTTGTCAAAACTTCATGTGAGTTGTTTCAAAATAGTGCTAAAGTCTCTATCATTCTTGTATCATTTTGCCGACTAATCTTGTGTCTGTTAATGCAACTTTGTTTTTAGTCACAAGATATCAATGTCGTAAGTCTAGAAGCCTCGCATTTTCACAACATTATTGTAAGCATCGAGGATTCATCGCACTCCACCCGCTTTACCATAGGATTTTTCGATCCATTTGCTTCGCATATATATCAGCTTCTGAATTTGCAGGCTATTAGAGGTCGGGTTTTGATTTCGAGTATATCGCTATAGCGCACTGCTTTCCCCAACAGTGGCACTTACTCTCGCTGATTAACTTTGGTTTACAGTTTTCCGATGGTGAAAGTCGTCAAAAGGTTTCTGATTGACGTGGCTTTTAGAAATTTTTATTAGTTTTCGTCTATTTACTGTCACTTGCACCATTTGTGTTAATGATGTTGTCGGTTTCGTTGAGGTACAAAATCGATCGCCTACATTTCGCTTGAGTTGCAGTTGAAGATCTTCCTTGCGCCTTGTCATTTATCGCTTGCTCTCCCCGTACATATAGGGTGAATTGGAAGCACAATTATTGAAAGCCAACCCTATTCTTGAGGCCTTTGGTAATGCCAAAACCATAAAAAATGATAATTCTTCTCGCTTCGTAAGTGACATGCTTTCCACCTTTATCAGCATTTTTTGCAGTCGTTCTAGTCTCTTAGAATATATGAATTATTGCTATTTTCTAGTGGTTTGACTTCTATGCAATCTTTACAATTATCTCCGGGTCATTTCGCTACTAAGTTGGTACAGCTGGTAATGGATATTTGTAGCTTGTTGCTGATGCTTGAATAGTATCTGGCTCTTGTTAATTCTAGGAAGCCTACCTAGCTTCTACGAACGGTACTGTCTCGCAAATATACTCACCGATGTTTTGCGACAAGCAGGCTTTCTCTAGCCGCATTTTTGAGTGCTTCCCGATGGAGTAGTTTCGGTTTGCCTAAAAAATTCTGGTTCCTCATTTTAGGGCAAATTTATCCGCATAAATTTCGACACCTCTGGCTTCATCGCTGGAGCAAATATCGAAACTTGTATCCTTATAGCCTGAAGGGCAGTATTTGTTCCACACATCCTCATGTACGCAACCTTTTTAACTTGTCCCCCTTTCTCTTTACTTGTTATCAAACTTAACCTGCGCGACCAGATCTGCTGGAAAAAGCACGTGTAATTCGGCAGGCGCCAGAGGAGAGAAGTTTTCACATCTTTTATCAACTTATTGCCTCGGCGACTCCAAAGCTAAAGGAGAAGCTTTTGCTCACTGATGCCATAAACCACTCCTATCTTTCCCATGGCATGATCGAGGTTCCCGGTTTGGACGAAAAACAGGCCTTTCAAGAGACCACCGAGGCTATGTCCATAATGGGTATCACTGATGAGGATCAGCAAGGTTTGGCCTACTACTTGATTTGAATAAAAGTACTCCAATCTTGCTGCGCGCTTGAAGATTTGTTTCTTTGTATCTTACTTACCTAGACTGTGACTTTTCAAAAGCGCCATTTAGCAGTTATTTCGTTTCAATTTAGCTATCTTCCGAATCCTCTCTGCTGTCCTGCATTTGGGAAATTTGGAGTTTAAACAAGAACGAACTACTGATCAGGCGACCCTCCCGAATCAGGCTGGTGTGTTTCTTTATCCTTGCTCTATTGGTCATGGGCAGTGGAATGAAAAGTTCTACCCATTTTTTTGCCGCACCTCATATAGTTCCTTTTTGGAGGCTTAAAGCCTATTGGTAAATTGTCCATATTTGCAGGATGTGTAGTTATCATTTCCGCTCTCTTCAGTTGCCGAGAAAGTGGCTCATCTACTAGGAGTGCCGTTGCAAGAATTGACAAAAGCCTTCCTCAAGCCAAAGCTAAAGATCGGTAGGGAGACGGTGTCAAAGGCTCAGACGAAGGAGCAGGTTGAGTTTGCTGTGGAGGCCATTTCGAAGGCCATTTACGAACGTCTATTCCGATGGCTCGTCACTCGTATAAATAAGTCCCTCGATCGGGCCAAACGCCAAGGTGTCTCCTTTGTCGGCATTCTGGATATTGCAGGTTTCGAAATTTTCCAGGTTCGCCGTTGTTCGTCTGACACTAGAAGATAAAAGTATTTGGATTGTTTTCCTTTAAGACTGTTTATTGTTTTGTTGAAATTCGATCTAGATTCAAAGTTCAACACTAACAACCTGTAAAAGATTACGTCTCATGTGTAAATTCTTTCACCTGAGTTGTTGCCAGCTTTGGCAATCTCGATCCTGGTTTCATGTTGATAGCTGCTTTAACAATTTCCGTTTTATAACCCTCGTTGCGTCACTTTCAGACTACAGATAAGTCGGCCATTCGTGTAAGTTGCTCGCTCTCTGCAAATGTTTGCTGAAATACGTTATTTCCTCCCTCGTTGCCTTGCCAGCGGTCTCTGTGTTCTATGTGCGCGTTTTTTTTTCGCCTTCCATTTCATGTCCCGCGTTATTGATGTTGAACTTCCATGTAAGTCGT